TTCGATATTTACTCCCCCACAACATATACAATGTTTTTAAATAGTCTGGTTGGACTTTAGAACGTACGTGTTATGTATGTCCAACCACTGCTTACCTTGACATGCAATGTTAGACGGAATAGGGTCTGATTGAATAAAAGTCAACGTCTGATCAAATCATGGTATGGTAGCGCTTCATGAATTCATCCATCATAGGACTGATGCATATTGGTAGGTACAGGCTACTTGATTAGGGTTCACGTGATAGTCGTCATCAGTGGTATGAGTTTTTAGGCGACACAGTCTTAAATTGGTCTCATTAATAACGAAGACATTCATTTTTTATATTTTTCTAAATACTGAACTTTAATGTTTGATTATTTCATACTCTTAGTTCATGCACTACTCTTTTTAAACCATATTTTTTATTTATCCGTTTTTACTACCATTATTAGTCTAATGTAGTATGATATATTTTATCTGATTCACATATATATACGGTGATTATGACTGACTGTCCTGCCTTTAACAGTGACTTGCTTTCTGACTGCTGACTTAGTGAACTCAACAAGTCACTGTTTATCACTAAAAGGTCGAAGAACCCGTTACAAATCCAGTGTTTCCTTTTTATTGTATTTCAGCTGATGATTTCAATTTGTGGTGAATATTGGTGTTATGTTGTACAATGAGGTTACCACAATCATTTACTTTTCTTTTGATGATTTATATCACTAAATCATCGTATTCAAATAACCACTGAAAATCAGGAAGCACTGGAAAGCCGTTACTTACCAATCTGAGACTCCTTGGCAATACTTCCAGGAACCGAGACGAGGTTCTCCAAGTTTCACAGAAAGCATTCAACTTTAAACCACTAAGTGGGCATCCGATGTTTTATATTTCTACCTTCAATCAATACATGTATTATGCAACCGTCCTTCCCTCTCATTGATAGTTAACCGACTCCTACCTGATTCGTTCGACTCCATTAGTCACAGCCTCTGATTAGAACCTCAGGAATTACCTCTCGAAGTTACTAACTAGAAAAAAAAACTGAATGGTTCTAAATAAGTTCAGTTCATGATGTAAACTATAATAAAATTAAATAATCTCCACAAACTCTTTACGTCTTGTTAACAGTAATACTAATATAGTGTATATTCACTTGTTCTTTAAAATAACATTTACATTATAATATTTCTTCCGTTCATTTAGTTTAAAATGGAATATTTTAACTTTTTCACTGAACAACTATCAAATAACCTGTATACTAAAACCAAATACATATATTCAAATAAAACAATCACTTATTCATATTAATAATTATGGACAACATCAAGTTTTCTGAAAAACGAAACAAAAACTTTGTACCAAATTTAAATTGGTATAAATAGAGGTATGGAGGTGCCAATATTACTTTTCAATTAGTTTACTTCACAGTAAACTTAGTAAATGAAAGAGTTGCTGCTAAACAACTGTCTAAGTTTAAGTTTACGGAACATTACATACATTTGATGGTGACTTGATAGTTACGAGATGAAAAAGTAATGAGTTCAATTATACGTTCGGTCATGGAATTGTGGTTTAGAACAGTTTTGAACAAGTATTCAACGACCGTTCATTTCTCCTTGATGGCTTTTTAGTTGATATTTTTTAAGAACAGTATTCTCAGATCAACTTCATAAGAAAATACATCAATAAAAAGATTATGAAATTGGGTTTATTTTATCTAATATTTGTCATAACTTCCAATCTTTGTCAGATTTTTGTCCAGCCTAGAAGTTCGTAGTTGTTTTTGAGAAAACGCAAAGGATAAGTGAAGTAGACCTTAGATAATGACTCTGTAAGAACATACTTAAATTTCAATCATATTAAAGATAAACTGTAGATAATAACCCATTAGTGTGGATTACAAACATTCCACCTAGAGCCCTGCTAGGGCGAGCGCCGGTCTCAAGCCCGGATAAGAGGGAAAGGCTAGACATGGGGTTAGCGAACCCACCACACAAAAAGGAACCTTGCTATGTTAAGCAGAAAAAATCATTCACACTACTCAAACTCTGTTCTGAGAGTTGAAAAGTTATGACGCCTTATGGTGAAGGTCGATATTCTTCGGGAATCACAGGCTTGAAAACACTTTGACAACTAGAGCAAAAATTGATACAGGTACATAGGATGTCCGAAGAGTTTGGGAGACAAGGAGGATCATTCAAATAGAAATGGAAATGAGAAAATTCATCCTCGCTGTGTTTCGAATAAGTAAAACCCATTGAACATAAGCTAAACAAAAGAGAATAAATTCGGGTGACCCATTGTTGTATTCTGGCCATGAAGAAGAAAATTTTTCACACATACAAAGAGTTGCACTAACGCTGTTCAATGAAGCACGAAAGATGCTTATAGAATGGAATCTCATGGATCCAGGATTATCAAACACATCCTTCTAAACAAAGAAGGGAAGGATTGTTAGCGTTTTCTGGTTAGCGTTTTTTTTAGCGAGTTAGTTTTCTGCGGGATGGGGTCGCTAACCCCATACCCACCCCTCCTCCTTTATCCGGGCTTGGGACCGGCAGTAGCCCCCGGAGGGACTCCAGGCGGAGTTGAAGGGAAGGATTACAATCAATATAATCCAGTGCTACTCACGCACCAATGATACCAACGAAGATGTTAAAGATCAGTTTTATGAGAGGCTACAGTCCATCATAAAGAATTCCAGAGGACAACACTTGACCATCCTGAACGCCAAGGTCAGTGTGAGAAACACCAGGTGTTTGAGGTGAAATGGACTGGGAGAAAGCATCGAGAACAGTGAGCGACCGGCAAATACGTATGGTTTCAACAGTGAAGCTACAGGTGGCACTACTTCCATTACAGACGCATACATTATTCTAAATGGATTTCATCGGGTCACGCTACAGCGAACCAGGTCGACCAAATCTGCATCAAAAAATATTCAGAAGGTTCATGGAAGATGTAAGAACAAAGAGAGGAACTGATATAGCTTTGGGCCACCAGCTAGTAGCGGCTAGGCTAAAATCAAAGCTAAAGAAGCATTGGGTAATTAAGCAAGCGGCCCTTCAAATGCTTAATATAACCTTCTTTCGAGATGCTAACAAGCTCAGGGAATTAAAAATAGCTCTCAACAACATGTCCCAAGTCTTACAAGGTCTGATAATAATAAGTTAAAAACATTATGGAAAACAACTGGAAAGAGATTAATGCAGAGATAACTTCAACATACCTGGAGTTGTTGGCTTGTAAGAGGCTCCAGAGTACGGAATAGATTTCTGTTGACAGACTGAGCAAGACTCAGAGTAGGAAAACAATAAAACAGCTGTCAACAATCTCCGAACAAATGCAAAAATGTCAGGACACAGGCCAAATATACAAAGTCAAACAAATGAGTGATGGAGAGCATTAGAGTCGACGAGCGGAAGTAGGTAGAAGACCTAGCAATGACAGCGGGAAAAGCTGCAAGCGAAGTATGAAAGAACTATATGGTACAAAAATAGCTCACAGGGAAACATGCAAGACCAGAGCGACCAGTCGTGAACGAAGAAGGCAAATCAGTCACTGAGGTTCATGAGCAGCGAAATGAGTGGTTAGAGCAATGTGAAGAGCTCTTGAATAAACCAGCCTCAAAAAACCCACTGGACATCGAAGCAGCAAACACAGGCATCCTCATACGCAACACCCGTCTAATAATTGAAGAAATAAGCAAGGTCATCATACAAGTCAGGAATGGAAAAAAAGCAGGACCAGACAACATACTAGCTGAATCACTAAACCTACACATAAACATAACTACAAAGTAGTTCCATGTTTTTCTCAGAAAGATTGTTGAGGAAGAACAACTACCAAAAGATCGAGAAGAGGGGTATGCTATCAAGATACCAACGAAAAGAAATCTTAATGAATGTAAGAACTACAGAGGGATCATTCCAATCTTATTATCAAGAGAAGTTTTCGATAGAGTGTTACTTAACCGTGTGAAGGATTCAGTAGATGCCCATCTTTCAAATCAGTAAGCTGGATTCCGTACGGATAGATCATGTACCGATCGAAATGCGACACTAGATCGTCATTGAAAAATCGAACGGATGTAGGTCATCACCATAGATAAGCTTTCTTCATTACTAGAAACCATTCGACAACCCAGATATGAAAACCATATGGACCATTTTTATATATTCTGTAGTACCTAAGAAGATATTTACTATCATACAGGACTCCTGTGAAGGACTACATTGCTAAGTTGTGCATGCAGAGCAGCTCACGGATGCCTTCCAAGTGAAAATAGGTTTCTTTCCTTTGTTTGCTTGCTGCTGACTGGATTACGAAGACTACCACATCTCAAGAGATCCATGGGATAAAGTGGAGATCTTGGACAAAACTGGAAGATTTAGTCTTTGCAGACTACTTAGCCCTCCTACCGAATATATACCAATAAATGCAGTCAAAGACTGTCTCTACAGCAGTAAGCCTCAACATTCACAAGAGAAGAGACAAGATTTTTAAATGCATCAAAGCCAGCGCCAATCAAATCACGCTTGATGGCAAGATTAATTAAAAATTATAAATAGAAAGCGAATCGATACCACCAGCCATGATTAGAAAGACCAAAACCTGAGGATAAAATGGAAATGTATGTTTGAGGGAATATTCTGAGCCATGTCAACGAATGTCTTTAACCACTAATCCTAGTTGTCAAGAGGACCTCAACCAGGTTGTCCGGATCTACCAATATGGCCCAGTTCAACAGTCAGTGACTTCGTGGACTGATATCACGTTTTCGTTTAACCACCCTTCGATTTCTCCTAACTTGCTCCTTCTCCAGATACTATCGTTCGTCGAGGTAGGTGGTGGTTAGGCATAAATAACACTCAATCATGTTGTTGCTTTAATAATCAAGGTGATTACACATATATTTCAAAACTAATTACATTAAACGTGAAGAATTTAATTTGTGTTACGTTATTCATATTCTCTCTTATTTTTTTTCCTTTTCTTAATAATCATAGATTCAGCATCAGATACTCGTCAACCACGTAGTCCAACACGTTTGGGTTATTTAATACGTGTTGGTCAAAGCTTAAATTTAACATGTCCTGGTGATGCTGTGTTTTATCAATGGAGTCTTGTTGATCAACCATCACAAATATTATCAGAAGAACAATTTTACACAATTAAATCAGCTACATTGAAGGATTCTAATCGTTATATATGTCACGCTGTACATGGTTATGGAAGAAGTTCCGTTGAAATGTCTGTTCGTGTTATAGGTAATTGCTTGTAAACATCTTTATAATGTTTATACAATGCTTCTTCGTTTTTCTTCTTGAAACGGACCTCTTCAGAAGACCTTGCCGACATATTTGGACTTGAGAAGTTGATCAATTCAAGAATGAAGTAGTTTTGACTCATACCAATGATGGTGGAATATAGTTACGTTTTATCATGAGTTTACTGAGGTTGAATAAAAACTTATGAGCTTTTTGGATTTCGACTTGGTGACTGCGTGTTGTGATTGATTGCCAAGATATTTCGAAGTCTTGGGTTCTATTTTTTTGTATAGATTTTTGGGTAGGATCGACGAACTGTTCAAAATGAGGCTAAACCAGATCTTTCAACTACTATCAGCATACAATTAATAAATAAACCACCTTGCTTCTTATTATACTGAATAAAAATATGATCTACCATATCAGTTAGCAATAAAACACGACAATCATTCATTATTATCGATAGGCGATTGCCTCTTTTTTCGACTTGGTTGACGCCACAGATACAACTTCCTTTTAGAACTTCAGAAAAATTACAAGATTAAATTTTAACTTAACAGACCTGGTGATGTACTGTTTGCCATCGGATCTGAAGTTTTGGTGACCTGAGTCCAACACTTTGTGGTGCATACACACCTGAGGAGCCCTAGATTTAAATCAAATAGCTAACCCGATGTTTTATAATTCTTGCCGATCCTTATATAAGTCTGTGATGTGGAATATTTTTCACTTACTTACTTACGCCTGCTACTCCTCGTGAAGGAACATAGGCCGCTCACCAGCATTCGCCATTCAAACCTGTCCTGGGCAGTCCTTTCCAGCTCCTTCCAGTTGTTGTTCATCCTTTCCGTACCTGCTTTTATTTCCCGACGTAATGTTTTATTTGGCCTTCCTCTTTTCCGCCTTCCTTCGGGATTCCAAGTTAGGGCTTGTCTCATGATGCAGTTTGATGATTTGCGTTATGTATGTCCTATCCATTTCCATCGTCTTTTCCTAATTTCTACTTCAGCTGGAAGTTGGATTGTTCTCTCCCACAGAAGGCTATTGCTGATGGTATCCGGCCAATGGATGTTGAGTATCTTGCGTAGACAGCTATTTATAAATACTTGCACCTTCTTGATGATGGTTGTTGTAGTTCTCCAAGTTTCAGCTCCGTACAGTAGAACTGCCTTGACGTTCGTATTGAAGATTCTCACTTTGATATTGGTTGAAAGTTGTTTTGAGTTCCATATGTTCTTCAACTGAGGGAATGAGGCCCTTGCTTTGCCAATCCTCGCCTTTACGTCTGCATCTGAACCTCCTTGTTCATCGATTATGCTTCCCAGGTATGTGAAGGATTCTACAGCTTCCAGAGTTTCGCCATCAAGAGTGATTGGATTGCTGTTCTCCGTGTTAAATTTGAGGACCTTGGTTTTCCCCTTGTGTATGTTGAGGCCTACTGATGCAGAGACTGCTGCTACACTGGCTGTCTTTATCTGCATTTTTTTAAAAAAATTTCTATTTTTTATTTCTGGTAAAAACGCTTACCAGAAAAAAATTTTTTCACTTAAATAATAATAATTTCGTTTGTTTAACACATCATTTTTATGCATTAACTTTTAAATAGGGTCATATTCTGTTTCTTATTTTTTTAATAAAAAGAATATAATACTTATCATAATCTATTGAATCAGAAGTTATTTCTCTATTTAGTTTTCGGGAAGAAAATTGTACGTTAGAGTGTCAAGGTCGTAGTTATTAATATCACTATTCTCAAGTTTACACAAAATTCTTCTAAAAATTAATAAAATAGCGATAGATGGTCGTCATGAGAATCGATTGATTATCCGTATATATATGGTAGCCTGTTGTCTTCGGTAGGTTTGCCTCTTGTTGTTGTGATATTCATCACATCTTGGTAGTCTTACCATAATTGTAACAGTATGTGACAAGATGTAAGATACACTTACGTTTAGTGCTAACAGCAGCCGACAGCAATCATCAGACATGGGATTAAGAAACCAGAAGTTAATAGAGTTAGGTTTGATATTGGTCAAAACACGAATATTTGGAATTCATTCCTTGAAACAAAATAAGAAGTGGAATAGCCTCCATTGTTCAATAGTGTATGAATTTTTACCGAAATTTTGAGCTATTCATGATAGTAATCATGTTTATTGAGGTCTCATTTAATTTGCATCGATACGCTAGTGATTTTATGCTAGGTGGTTGAAAGCAATCGGCAGAATACCCTGGCTGATCTCTGTTTTTTGGCTATATTGTATTTGTCAGTCAGATTTGTCTTTAACTTTAAAGAAACTAGTAACCTTCGTGAGATTCAAGCCTAGTATCTTGGTTATCGACGTTACTATAAAGTCCTTTATCAGAATTGTTACGAAACCTAGATTATGAGCTTCTGTCGATCGACTTCACCAGAAATGCACTACAGTGATGTTGAGTCATTTAGACATACATTTCAATTTAACTGAAAAAATTCATTCGGAACTAAATCTTAGATGATATAAAACTAATTTCTCTTAAGTGATTTATTATGTTCAATCTGATCTTGATTTTACACTGAAGTTTTCTAAAAAAAAATCCTCTCGAAATCTAAAAATCTACCATACTTTAAAAAAACAATCTTACTGCAATGGTAGTGCACTAATAATAATGGTAAATATACAGTTCATAAATTATATACAGCTTCATGTAGACTATATATTTCGTCTTTAAACAATAAGATTTGGTAATGTAACTAGGCTGTTTAAATCTTCTGAAATTGAATTATGCTTAAACTTATTATTTATGTGAACTAATGATGACACAGTAGTTGCAACGATGATAATCTCTAAAAATAAAAATAATGCATTAAATTAATTCTGCTAGGAAATATACAATCCATAGTATGTCAAATAGTTGCTCATGTTGAATACATACATCCAGAATTTTTAAGTTGAATAGTGAATTACTCGGTTAGTTTCAAAGATTAACTCAATTTCAGGACTAAGTTAGGATGGAGAATGGGTTTAAACTAGGAATTACTAGACAACTGCTTTGCTTTAGAGTGAGACTCCTTAACAGTTAGTGCCCAATACCTTACTAGAGAATAAAAAGTGAACCTTCAGGTTTCACGGTAATCGTGATACCCTTCGCCCAGCAAATACATGATATTCAATGGCTAACAGTTTCAATTCTAATCACTTCATGTTGTAGCTCGATAATTTTTCTATGTTGTCGGTAGTAGCTGTTCCATTATTGTCTTGAGTAAACCCCCATCAGTTATTAGTTTTCACTAGAACATTAGATTTTATTCTCATGAGGATATGCAGATTACTGAGAAGTTTCAAATTAGTACAAAACAGTTAACCTTAATGCTTCAATTTTTTTTCTACAATTCAATATTCTATGTTTTCTTTAAAAAAAACAAAAACAATAATTGGTTGGAAATAATTGACAAGAAGCCTTGAACATCATTGTATTTAAATGTATGCTCCTATTTATTTAGATTAGTTCATACATGTACTTTGTAATCTAACCGTGTTGCCAAAAATACCTATCCTTTTTCTAAGAAAAATAAGTAGTACTGTTTATCATTATTTACCTTGTTTATGTATTGTATATGATCGGAAAAAGAAATGTACCATGTACTTTGATTTATAATATATTGAAGATAATAAATACAAAAAAAAATAATTATAGAATTAACATCTTAATCAATTTTATTGATATAACTAAATAAATTTATATGATAATCCATAACGGATTGCATTGAACAATTACTTCATATACATCCAGTACCATATATCTAATTGAGCTGCAAGAATATCAGATGATAACTATGTTGTGACTGAGTTATCATTGTTCTCGAGGGAAAGTATGATTTTTATACACGTTATAATCCAAGTTGTGAAAAAAATGACTGAATTGTTCTTACACTGATTGATTTGATAGCTGAATAAATTATCTAATAAGAGACTATTCAAACAACGTATCGGTATACATTTGAATCTGAGATTTAAAAAATTCTACCTTTCTAGTCAATGAATGAACGGTGATGTCAACCCTAAAAAGCCATGCTAGCTACAGCAGAAGTGTAGTTAGAAAACCCTTAAACTGAATCGTGTGTAGAACTATGGGCTTAGTGTTACGTAGTCTGTAAATCAGTAGTATAATGTTAGTTTATTAATCTATAATTCATATTTTATGTATGTACAACAGGAGAGGAATGAGGGCAATAATTTTACTGTCAGAACACTTCACATAAAGTTGATATAGTGGAATTCGAACCTGAGATTAACAGTTGTGAATCCAATTTTCTGAAACACTTCCGATCTCTCAGCAAAGTGAAATGAATAGGAGAACGTAAAGACTTCGTGAACTATTTCCTACAGTTTAGACCGGTTTCTAACTCTCACAGGTATTGCAAATTTATCACCCCGATTTTTCAGTCTTTTCTATGCTTATGTGAAATATAGAAGATTGGAGCGAAAGATATCCATCTGTCTCAAATAACGGATTATTGTCGTCTATTTATTCACTTCGAATTTACTTTCCGTTAGCTGGAGGGACAATAATTTGACAAAAAACATTGAACAGTTGTTTCATCCCAAGTTTTGAATTCATCAAGATGGTACTGAGTTAAAATCTAAGGGTTCATTTTTCTGAAATTTAGTTAACTAATCGTTTTAATCATCTTTTGATTAGTGGTATCTGATTTGTTAACCTAATGGAATATAAAGTTTTAATCAAATGAAAAATGGTAATATATAATTTGACTATATAGCATAACATTAACAATGTTTATCATTACTAACATCATTATTTCAATCATACTACAATCATAATTGATTTGTATATTTTTTTATTTACTGAAGAATTCTTATTATCACTTATTTTTCCTCCTGCCCCCCTCCAACTCTTCGTATTCTGACGATGATTTTTCTTTCTATTTTTGTCATTAGATTTCTCTTCAATAACAGCACAGCATGAATGTGCTGTAGGCAGTAAAACAGGGAATGTCAATACAAATGGTGAGTAGATAATAAAAGTTTTATTTTAATTTTACACAAATGCTTAATTAAGAGAGATGATGCAATCTTTTCTATCCTTCTATAAACATTTCCCAAATTCTTCATTGATATTCATACACGGATCGACATGGTTAGATATTATCTGTAACTCTTTCAGTGGACAACAAACATGCTTTATCCAAAATTATTTACCAATTTTTCCCTCATCCAATTTGCGAATGTTGCATATTAATGTGTGACTTTTACTAAGGATTCCACTTCAAGCGTCTGAGGCAATTCGTAGTTATTTGTTATGAATATATCAGTGAAGCACAGGCCGAAATGCCGAATGAAAAATACAAATACAGTCTAATTTAGAGCTTGAGATGAAATCTCTATTTGACGATCATGATATGCAGTACTCACCTACTATATGGACGCAAAAGTAACTAGAAGTCCCGAATATGAAACGTTTAGTGAACAATACAAACCTTAAGGATAGCTTCAGCCACCGATACCAACTGCAAGGAAAGCCCATTGAAAATACCTGGAGAGAATAGAATAGAACAGAATATGGTTGTATATCATTCCAGTTTATGACTTTGTGTTAGTTGTGAATCACTGATAGAACTGTCAAGCTTCTTAAGGATTGTGGTATTATTTTTTTGTGATCTTATTCATGCTATCACCTTATAATTAATTTCTATTCACGGTCTCATTCATTTGACCATTCCTTCGGTTGTTGCTGTACCTGCTTGATTCCCTCAATAGATTTAATTTTGACAATTGGCTTTTTTGTACTTCAACCAGACTAATACCTATAAACCGTACAGTTTATTATTCAAGCTTTTTTTAAACTTTTGTTTTTAATGAAAGGATTACATTTCAGATGTATGGTAGTGAAACTATAAAATAATCATAGTACTATTAGGAGTATGACTGTAAATCTTCGTTGACTAAATTAGTTGAAATATGTGTTACACATCCCTGAGGAGGACTAAATATAATTGGATTAAAACACCACATACGTTACAATTGATTGACTATTGAGTAGTGAGTGACCAATTTTATGTTTTTCCTATCTTTTAGCTCTGATCGAATTCCATCTATCAGATTACAATGTAACCACTTGTCTGAGTGACTTAATATTGCATATATAATGTTCCGAGGTTTGGTGGTTTGCGGTGGTCGACAGGAAACCCTGTATTAACCTACATTCTGAGCTATTTATTATTGTTCAATAAGGCATACCTGCGATTTTGATGGAACTGATGGTCCCCATGGAATTCGAACCCTTGCCACCTTAGAATTGTAGGTATGCCTTTCTGACACTTGCCAACTACCATAATATCCATGTCAATACACAGCTTCCTGCCGATTGCCTCTAACCAACTAAGCGGAAATTGTATCATAAAATAACTAATTATTAAGCCAAATTATATATATATATATATATATATATATATATATATATAAAGTTAGTCCACACGACAAGTATGATCTATAATCTATTACACAGACATATATGTATGTGTATTCACAATTTCTATTTTCCTTTAGATTTCAAGTTTTGATGTGATTTTTCATATACTTTATGCCTCAATTGTTTCCTTCTTTCTTTCAAGTGATATTATCGACATTCGGTTTCTTTTATGTATTTATTATCATTTCTCTTTCAGTTTTCTTTTCTTTTCATTAGTTTTATCTTTATTATTTTCGGCTAATAATTTAAACGATGTATAATTTGAAGTGATGCATATCGATATAATATACTGTACATCTTATTTTAGTTATGATTGAGTAGCTTACTGATTAACTGATTGAATTCGTTTCAATGTGAAACATTTTTTCTTTGTTTTTGAAAAGAAAAACTTATTCCCTAATGAAATTTACAGATATTACTAATTACAATATCATATGAAGTCTGTTATTTGAAAATATACTAGAATCGGAATAAATGTTCATGCTTTTCAATTAACTTGATTAAAAAAGAATACTATCTTCAAAAGTAATTGATTTTCCGTGTGAATTTTTCTCCAAGTTGATTCTGTCCAACTAATCATTCAAGTAAATGTAATCTCTAAATAATATATTTATGAAATAACGAATACTAATGTATTTATACGGAGGCTTATACTTATGTATATATGTGTGTATAGTCAACCACAAGCTTGTTTTTAATAATATCCAACTAGCCATATATTCTCTCTTTCACACACACACGCACACACTCACTTCATTAGTAGAATTATTACTCGCCATTGTGTTCTATTCGTTTTTCATTCGCGTAATTCAGCTTCATTTACTGTAGACGTGCTTGTTGTTGATGGTCAGTCATTGGTTATTCTGGTTGTTTCCAATATTAGTTCGTCTCTTGTTTATTTTGATTTTCGTATTGTTAGTTAGGTTTATTTCAATATCCAGATGGCGTAAAAATATTTATGTGCAAGTTTGAAATTTTCCCTGGGGAGATAAAGTTTATTGTTTCTGGTGTTTGTATGAGTGAATGCATCGGTGTTTACGACTGAATGATTGACTGAGTGAGCGAGCCGGTGAATTAGTGAGCATACAAAGGAGACTATTGAAGCATAAAATAAACAGTCGAATATCTGATTTTCTTATGTATTACGCTTAAGGATAGTAAAAGAACACTACTATACAAGAAACTAGTTTAATAATATGTTGAGGAAATAGCTATTTTTCCATTCCACCATATGATAATATACTTTATTCTATTTTATTTAAACACATAGTCATTGGTACAAGGAGGCATCAAATGTATATTTACCATACAAATCACTCTATTCGTGTGAGGGCCGGAATACTGTCCAGGTGCCCAAACCGAAGCAGGTGGCCTTTTTAGGGGGCCACACCCCGAGCCTTTGACACAGGTTTAGTCCACAAGGCAGTGGAACAACGTAAGGTGATGCTGTCCCATGGTAGCCGGTGACCACCAATAGGTTCACACGTCATCTGTCCCCTCAAGATACTGGAGCCCATGTGCACCATTGGTTTAGAATCACGGTTTACCAGCTTCCTTAGGTGAACCTTCTGTGTCCACCAAACCGGTGAAATCGCCAGACATTCGCTTTTCGTTCTCTCAACTTCGTAAACAACAGTAATGCCGTGAGAAGGCAGAGAGTAGAACTTCCCTGGCAGTGGTTCTATGCACGTGGACATGTGAGAGCATTTCGAGAGGGAGAGCTGACTCTACCCACCCTCAGCCGTACGAGAACATTTAGCGGCCTCACTGATGAATAACTATGGTGATATTAAGAGCCCGGCAAATGTTGTCCATTTGATAGAGTTCTACACCTGTTGTTTAACCGTGATCTAGTGTCACGCTTTTTGGTCTTGTTTCAAATAAGATTACTTAACTTGTGTACTGGTTTAGGCGTTCTACAAGGACCTGCCTTATTGTTTCCTGTCAACTATGCTCACCTTAAAAATATATACACTGAAGTTCTATGTTCCATCTCAAAGAGTTCAATATCTTCTCATATCAGACACTTTACAATAGACCGAGACAGCTGTTATTTAGTTTCTAAGTTGTTTAATATTGATACTTGTTAAAGAGGATTTGAAATTTTTCATCGGTCATACAAGAGATCCATGGATTCTCATTTAAAACCATGATAAAATTTAGACAGTGTTGAACACTTGTTGTATTCTGGAGTTTATCAAAAATATGTATCTGTTGGTTCTTATTTAAAACTAGGTGAAGTACTCTAAAGACCTTGTGATCATTTAATTCACTGGGTTTCATTTATTCTTAATTTCAATCAACTTATTTCTATAAGAAATAAATAGTTTTGAAAATTTAACCTTCCTTAATATCAACCTTTAAAGTATACCTGGTATTGATAGTAGAAAAACATGAAATTACAACTAACTTATCATGAACATCTCTAGAATGTTAAAAAGTGTAATATATAGTAAGTAACCAAATACAAGTTTCTTGGACTAGTGGATTTCAATATAATAATAATAATAATAATAATAACATTTATGTTAGTATAAATCAGCTTTAAGTATTTACAAAAAGAAAAAATTTTTAGAGACATATCAGTTTATTTGTTAATAGTCATAACCTAATCGAAATGAATCGCTTTTTAAAAATACACCTGTCTAATTCATCTTACTTCTCAAGGACTCTTCAATTAATGATGAACTGCTTCTAAGATAATGGATTCAATAAAAAAAAGTCCTAAAATTGAACAAGTAATTCAAAATATTTGTGCATCCATCCACTGTTCACCTAACCTAAGTATTTTTTTTCTTACTGTCCGTATTATTGTAACCTTCTTAACCTTTGGTATGTTAAACTGACGGTTCTTTGTTTACTGAGGGAGCGTGCGAGGCAATATTCTGTAAAGGAGATGAACAATGGTAAAGGTGACGGGATGACTAATAACATAGCATATATACCTGAGTAAAGTAATGAAAGCAATCAATAACAATAAACGATGGGATAAACACAAAATTAAGATAATCTTTTAATCGAAACTAGCAACTATTAGAGTTTGAATGCGTTACATTAAACAGTTTTAATACATTCATGGAAACTCAAAAAATAACCTTGGTAATCTCCTTTTAGTCAAATGGTTCGTTTCAAAATCCAATTTTTCAATGGGGATTTGTTACAATGAACTCAGTACTTGTATTCAAACTTTTAGGTTTGGTAATAATTATATAAATTCGTTTTCTTGGAACTAACAAAAATCCCAATTGTATCGTGTCTGATACAGACTTGAATGGGAAAGAAGTTGATGAATGAGTGGTCAAAATACTTCCGAATATCAAAGCTGAAAAACCAGTAAACTCCACCGATGGATACCAACAGCTGGGAGATTTTTATCTCAGTCAGTTTCTATGGAATAAAGTCCGATCTTTTGTCATAAAGTGCTTGATAGACAATAAGTGATTACTTCTTACTTAATTATTATTATTAACTAACTACTAAACCACAAATCGGATAAAACAATCACTATTAATGTACTCAGTTTTGTTCGTCCCCATTT